GCGCTCTACCACTTGAGCCACAGCACCACTTCTGGCTTTTTCTGCTTATGTGGTGCTGAGGAATCGAACCCAGGGCCTCAAACATGCAAGGCAAGCACTCTACCACTGAGCCACCTTCCCAGCCGGAGACTCTTATCTCCAACCAACCACCAGAAAATCGGAAGTGGTGCTGTGGCTCAAAATGATAAGAGTACTCCTAGCTTTGAGCCAAAAGAGCTCAGGGACAGTGCCCAGGCCCTGAGTTCAAGCCCAGGACCAGCACCTAAATATATAAACAAATAAACATATAAGTAAATAAATAATCAGACATAGGAAAGCAGGAGGGGAGCCCTGAGCACTTACCATAGTCCGAGGCCCAGGCTGCCCCCCGCCCATGGCTGGAGGGAACAGTTGCTCCAACTCCTTGGCATCCACGTGCTTTTCCTCGCGGCCCAGCTGGCTCCTCTCTCCCTGTCTCCCTCCATTCAGGGCCAAGTCCCTCTGGCTGCGGGGACCTTGGGGGGGAGAGAGCTGGTTTTCCACATCCTTACACAAGAGGACCCTAATAAAGGGGGAGCCAGAAGTTAGGGTGGGGGGCGGTCCAGGGAGAAGCAGAGGAAAAGGAATAGAGACAAGAGAGGACTGAACCCCAAATAGTCTCCTTGCTAGGGCTTTTCCTCATTGCCCACCCCAAGTCCCACCCCAGACCGGCCCCTCTCCTGACCCCGAGCCCACCTGCCCCTTTGGCCAAACAGGAGGAAGAGAACACAGAAGATGATGCACGTGACCCCGATGTGGATGCCGATGACGATGCCCGTGGTGGATGTCTGATTGGTGGCTTCTTCCTTCCGGCAGTCACAGGGTGGGCTCAGGGCTGGAGGGAAGGGGACAGGCACAGATTGGGGCTGGGGATCTTTCCTGGCCTCAGAGATTCACAGATCCTTGCTTCTAGGGACTCCTCATCCCTTAACCAGACTCTTGAGTTTTGTTCTCTGGGACCCACCGTAGGTAATGTTACCCTTGGTTTTGTTTGTGTGTGTTTGTTTTTGTCAGTTGTAGGACTTGAACTCTGGGCCTGGACTGTCCGTCAGCTCTTCAGCTCAAGGCTAGCGCTCTACCACTTGAGCCACAGCACCACTTCTGGTTTTCTGCTAGTTAATTGGAGATGAGAGGCTCATCAATGTTCCTGACTGGGCTGGCTTTGAACTATGATCCTCAGATCTCAGCCTCCTAAATAGCTAGGATGACAGGCCTCAGCCACCAATGCCCGGCCGTCATCCCTGTTTTCTACAGAACACTGGGGTTTGGAGAGGTGAAACCATACGATCAAGGTCACACAGATCTGAGCCGTGTCACCCTCCTACCTTGCCTGCTTGCCTGCCCTGGACTTCCTGAGTGCCATCTGCTGCCCCCCCCCCACCAGCCCTTACCTGTTCTCTCAGATGCTCCTCTCAAAGACACAAAGCGGACGGTGGCATTACCCTCTCCGTGCTGGTTATAGGCAAGCAGTTTCACCTCATACACCATACTGGGGTCTGGGGAACACAGGGATGCTGAGAGACTACCCCATCTCTAGTAGGCAGCCCCGTCCTGATAGGACGGCATGCTGCCCCCACCCAGCCCCTGATTGTACCCCTCACTCACCCAGCTGGCTGAGGTTGTAAGAGGAAGCCGTCCCTGGCAGCAGGATGGGACCGGTGAAGGAGCCCTTGCTGGCTGGGCGGTAAAACAGTTTAAAGCCACCCTCGCGCTGGACCAGCCTGGGCCAGGGTTCCCAGAGCAACTGCAAAGAGTTGATGCTCAGCACGCGCACGGACAATGGAGGTGGGGCAGGGGCTGCGGGAGGAGACCCGGATGTGAGGGTTCCAGTCATGGCTCTACCTTTCCACCTCCTCCCTGTGACCCAGACTCCCCCGCCCCCCAAGAACCTGCCAGCTCGCTGGCCTCTGACCGAGAGCATGTACTGACTCCTCAAACTACCCCATTCCATGAATTCGAAAAGAAGGCACTGCCGGGCATTGGTGGCTCACGCCTGTAATCCTAGCTACTCAGGAGGCTGAGATCTGAGGATCGCGGTTCAAAGCCAGCCCAGGCAGGAAAGTTGGTGAGACTCTGACGTCCAATTAACCACCCAAGGGCCTTAAGTAGAGCTGTAGCTCAAGTGGCAGAGTGCTAGCCTTGAGCAAAATTGCTCAAGGACAGCACCCAGGCCCAGAGTTCCAGGACCAGCACATAATTTCATTTATTTATTTACTTAGCCAGTCCTGGGTCTTGGACTCTGGGCCTGGACCCTGTCCCTGAGTTCCTTTTGCTCAAGGCTAGTGTGCTAGCACACATGAGCCAGGGTACCCCTTCTGGATTTTTCGGTGATTCCTTGGAGATAAGAATCTCACAGACTTTCCTGTCCAGGCTGGCTTCAAACCTCGATCCTCAGATCTCTACCTCCTGAGTAGCTAGGATGACAGGCGTGAGCCACCAGTGTGCCTGGCTGGGCACACCAGAACATAAAAGAAAACATTCCTTCCTCCAAATAGAACCTCAGTGGACGACACCTACCCAGCCTCAGGACCAGGTACCAGGTACAGTACCCAACCTTACCACATATCTGGGGTGGTTCGTCATCCTGTGAAGCTATGGTCTCACCTTCCCCCAGGGTGCTTGCTAGGGTGGGGACAGAGGCTAAGCTGGCCCCTCTTGGCGTGTAGGCCTTGATGTAGAAGGTGTAGGCCGTGGAAGGTTCTAGGTCGCTCACCAGGTGCTGGAAGGTGCTCTTGCTCACAGCTTCCTGATACTCTAGCTGGGGAGGATCTGGAGAGGAAAGATTGGGGCAGGGAACGCATAAGAGACAAGAGGGAGTCTCTATTTTTATTTTTTGCCAGTCCTGGGGCTTGGACTCAGGGCCTGGACACTGTCCCTGAGCTTAGCGCTCTACCACTTGAGCCACAGCTCCGCTTCTGGCTTTTTCTGTGTATGTGGTAAGGAGGAATCGAACCCAGGGCTTCATGCATGCTAGGCGAGCACTCTCCCACTGAGCCAACTTCCCAGCCCAGAAGGGAGTCTTGGCAGCAATGATAAAATACGGGTGTGGGCAAAGAACAGGGGGCAGAAGGAAAGAAAGGCACTAGGGCAGGACCCACAGGATGGAGAAGATGAGGAAACAGAACCTTCTCCACGCACAGGACCTACCTGCAGCTTTCCTGATGTGCAGGACGTAGCCGATGATCTCTTTGGTGTTGGCCAGTGGCTCGCTCCAGGACACCCGGACCTCAGTGGATGATACTGAGACAGCCCGGACATTGCGAGGGGGCCCGGGCAGCCCCTCAGCCCACAGCACGGTCAGCCTGGCGCTGGCCTGAGAGGAGCCCGCACTGTTCTCAGCCACGCATTGATAGATGGCCTCGTCTTCAGGACCGATTCCGGAAATGGTCAGTGTGCTGCAGGGGGAGAGAAAGCCTCAGACAGATGGAAAAACTGAGTCCCACCAGGGCACAAGCGACTTGTGGGGCTTGCCAGTATACGGGGACCAGTTTCAGCGGGGCACTGGTGGCTCACACCTGTAATTCCAGCTACTCAGGAAGCTGAGATCTGAGGATCTCAAAACCAGCCTAGGTAGGAGAAAGTCCATGAGACTCTTATTTCTAACAAACTACCAAGAAGCTGGAAGTAGAGCTGTGGCTCAAGGGGTAGAGTGCTAGCCTTGCACAAAAGAAGCTCAGGGTCAGCGCCTAGGAC